ACATGAAAACAATGAGTGATCATAGGAAAAATGGTCACATACTGTACTGCCAATTAATGTATCACTGTTAAATATTTTTGCTATTTGTTTTATAAAATAGCATTATAGATCAGATGGTCTGGTAGGCATCACGTATATTTATTAAAAAAATGTTTAAAATATACAGATGTTGTGGCTTTCTAGATACAAAAACTAAGATTTTATACCCCTCATACATATTACCATCAGGGTATCATGTCAGTTAATGTTCAAAGACCAACAAGCTGCCAAGGCTTGACAGTACCTATTACACCGATCATAACATACTGAGAGACACGCTAAATATATCCACAACATACTGGAGGCACAGAAACCATTTTGGCCATCAAATCCATCATCTGGAAATATAGAATAGTGTACTAAGAACATGGTAACAAAATTGACAATGTTTATTCAACACACAGGTTATTCAGTTACAAAATAAAAATAAAAATTATGAGTGCTTGAACAGGAAAAGCACTGTGTATCATTTGATTATTATAGTATATTGTGTAAAATATGAGATACCCACCCTCTTTGTTAAATAAAAGGAACAATCATATCTACAATAATCAGAGTTAACTCATACAGGCTTTTTCAAATGCCATACGCAATACCCCAAATTTAATTATAACAAGTTGACTAAAAAAAGAAAAAAAAAAAAAGGATATTTCTTAATGTACATGCAGCGGAGTAGAATAGGATATAAAGCGGTAAAAAAAAAAAAAAAAAAAGGGGAAGGGGGGCGGGGGTTAAAATTATATGCTATGTTTTCTATCAATAAATACAATGAAACAGATTCAACAGCTTGCATCCTACTGCATAATAAATAAATTGGTCAGTATCTTAAAGTATGTAAAAGCAAGGGGAACTTTACATATGTGTGCATGACTCAAAAAGCTTTTTTTTTAATTATTATTTAGAAAGAAAAACTTTACAACAAAAAGGTCCTTGTTCTGCAGCCTATCCCCATGAACCCACCGCACGGGTGCTGGCTCACGTTGCTTAGACATAACGTAATAGAAATGCTGAATTATAAAAAGTAGCTGGTTTCCCCCAAATTTGTCCAGATTAATGTTACAATTGATTTCTAAATATTGTATTGTAATGCTTCACAATGCATAAGGTTAAAAAGAAAAAAGTCATTTCTATATTTTTTTTTCATTCTGCTAAAATAATGTGACAAAAGGGAAAATGATTACTTTTACAAAACAAAATTGGTCTGAAATAGTTAATGCAGAGTCTGAAGCCTTTGGTCATACACATCCAATAATAACCAACTGAACTATGGGAAGGTGGATTCTGAGTCGTGGTGCCTAGCGTGACTCAAAATGGCTCCCCGAATCTCAGTTGGAGAAAACGGGGCAGGTTTAAGTGACAGCTTCAGGAGCTACAACGTATAAAACTATGGGACAAACAGCAGCTGGTCGCTCTAAGGGCTTATGTATACGTCTGTACAATTTACAACTGCTTCTTATAAAACAAAATCACTGGAAACGCCCAAGTAGCTAAAAAGGGATTCTGAATAATCTCAGTATTGTCTCAAACTGATGTAAAATGCTGGCTGAATACACCTGAAAGCACACTGCATTACCCATCGACACAAGGGACATCTTTATAGCTAATAATCTGTTGTAATTATTTTATAGCCAATAAGATTTGTAAAAGTGCTTCTTTGTTCTGTAGTATCATTTAAAGTGGGACTTCAGCCAGAAGGTTTTTGTTCTGCCAGGTTTTCTTGTGCCCCCATTGGCACATAGAACAACAAAAAAAGACAATAGTTCCACTTCAAGTACATATTTCTGGTCCTTTTGGAAAAATAATTTTTCAATAAAGACCATTATGAACTATCTTGTATGGAGATAGAAGTGATAAAATGATTAGCAAGTCCATTATGTAGAATGAGAAACAAGCAGCTCAGTGACTATGGGCAATGCAGGAATGCTGGTTGTGGGATTTAGTTTTTATGAAATCATATCAATAGCTTGTTTTGCACTTACCTGTAAAAAAAACAACAGAGGTGTTCTTTAAATGGTGGTTCTCATAGCTAAACTAGCAGCTGTAGCCTTACAGATTACCCAGATATGTATTGATGAAATGTGACTTAATTTATACCTACACGTACAAAAACTCCGTAACACTCAAGGTAATTCGAAGTCTGCTGGAGAAACAAGCAGGATACCTAGAAAGCTACAGAATGCACCTTGCATAACACAAGCTGCTTCCAGATCATGGCCAAAATCCAAGCCAAAAGAAACCTTTGTCTTTTGCTATCTCTGAACAACCATGATTAGCATCCTGTATGCAGATTTCATGGCAGCTCATGCACATAAAGCCAACCATGCACGGCTCCTGTTAAGAATCCTGGTCAGTTTGGTGAACATTTAAACCTAAAAAGGCACTTGTAAATTGAGATTAACCACCAACTATCTACAATTTATTACCCAGAAACCACAGGGGTTGCCATACATATTTAAAGAAGCAGCATTATAACTTTTGAGAGTTTCAAGTGTATTTTCACTTTTGCAGCCAAATTAGAATAACACCTATTTCATATTTGCTACATGTTCTCATTCACATTGCATAGGCTATAGAAAAACAAAAAATGCTTCTTGCAGTTTTAACAGCTTTTACTTGGGTTAGAGTTTTAAGGGTTAACATTTCTACTTGCTTATCTTTCTTTGTAATGTTAGGAGAGGCTGTGAGGCAGTCCGAGGTGGTTTGTCCATTGTATATTAAGTTAAAGAGAGAAACACAATCCTCAAAATTTCAGCCCTAAAGCCGGCCATACACCTATAGATTATCTGCAGATTTTCTATGGTCAGATGGAAAAAGTGGAGGAAGCTCCCACTGGGCCAAGCTTCAATATCTTGCTAGTCGGCCCCGCTGGCTCTCAAAATACCTGCACAATGTCTACATCCAATATGATTATTCAGGTATTTTGAGAGCCAGCAGGGCCGACTAGCAAGATACTGAAGCTTGGCCAAGTGGGAGATTCCACCATCCACACAGTTTAGCATAGATGGAGGAATCTGTTGTACTTTTTCCATCTGACCATAGAAAATCTGCAAATAATCTATAGGTGTATGGCCAGCTTTAGTCTTCCTTTAGGATAGCTCACCACAAAGGTGCTGAGAAAAACTTGGAATAGGCCATCTTGCCTGTTTTAACAAAACATCTTAAAAAGGTAAGACAAATGGTTTTTTTTTTTTATTATTTTTCTTCATGCCATGTGAATAGGATTACAAACATATAGAGGGGTTTTCACTAATTTCACTGAAAAAGTGGAAATACTTTTTAATGTTCCAAGCCACATTCCAACTTTACATGTGCTGGCAAATCAACAACAAAAAAATAGCATTTGAAACACAGATGATGACCACTGTTAAATATTTGGATTCATTTATGTAAATCAGAGAATGTCTAAGTGTATACTGCAGGACAGGCTCAGAGAGGTATCAGTGAGAGATTGAGGAGCCACATGTGGCTCATATACCAGTGGCCAGGGAAAATTAATTTAGACCACCACTTGTATGTCTTAACACAATCTTACAAATATACACAGGAAAATGTCAAAGTTGATTAAAAAACCCATACATACATTTTCAGTAACAAGGGAATCCAAATCTACACTGCCAGTGAACCCAAATAAAGAAAATGTCTATTTATCTGTGCACACACACAGTCACACACATGGCCAAGACATTAAGGGCCGGTTCACAGCACAAAGAGTGCGTTGGCCTCTGGAACGCAGCCCGACTGACTCCCTGTGTCCATGGGCGGGAGGGGGAGTGGCAGTGCATTGAAGTAAAACGCACCGCAGCCCCCCCCCACAGTGTGATCGCCAGCTCCCGAACGTGTGGCACATTAGTGCTTGCGTTCCAGTCCAGTGCGATCTGCAAAAATGCTGTATGCACTACTTTTGCAGATCGCACAGGACCAGAATGCAGGCACTAATGTGCCACGCGTTTGGGTGCCAGCGATCGCACTGCGGGTGGGGGGCATGGCTGCGGTGCCGTTGACTTCAATGTACCTCCCTCTTGCCCCTGAACGCAGGGAGCCGGCTGGGTTGTGTTCCAGTAGCCGAACACTCTGGAACGCACTCTTTATGGTGCGACCTGGCCCTGAGGGCCCATTCACACGTCAGGTCCATTGTGTTGTGCATTATGTTAAGGTAGGACATTGGTGCGAAAGGGTCTTAAGGACAGGACTACACGCAAAAATAAATATCTTTGCTTGTTGACATGTGTCTCATTAGCATCACATTGATTTCAATGTGCTACAACTGAGGGGGGGGGGGGGGCAAAAA